AAATTAAGGTTTCACGTGTAAGATTTGAAAAAGACTACGCATGCGCATGAGGGGACGTGTTAGAATATAAATAACTGTTCCTGTGCCACCACCACAAACTCGAGCTTTGGATTGAGTTGGTTCCTTGACAAACTCGAATCAAATACTTTAAATTGCAACTAGAATTTTATTTTGAGACAGAAAAAACTATGAAAAAACGGTACTTCCTAGCCACATACAATATCCATAAAGGCATAAATTTAAAGTAATTGGTATGGAATCTCATGAGATCCATGACTCCTTTCTCTCTTTCTCAATTCATCACACATTCATTTCGTGGCTCTTTTTTTCACGAGATTGACACCAAAATAAATACTCCATCCGTCCCACAATTCCTTACCCATTTCTATTAAAAAACTACTTTTACTCCTTACTTTTTCAAACCCTACCTATAACATCATACCTTTTTTCTAATAATCTACACATCACATCCTATTTTTACCCATCACATCAAGGGTATTTTTGGAAAGTCAACACAAATTTATCCCTCTCTTAATTTCAACTTTAGTCAAAATGGGTAACACTTTATGAGACGGAGGGAGTATTAGATATCAATGCATACTATTATATTTTGTTAGATTTATTTTATAAAATATTTTTAAAATATTATATTTTCTAATCAATATACTACATTACTTTTATTTAATTTGAAATAAAAAATTGAAAATGATTAATTACAAAAAGTCAAAACTAGATAGTATTGATTTAAGAACATGTATAATTACAAACAACATTCTCATTTTCAGAATTTGTTTTTTCTCTCTCTCTCTCTTACTTTGAATTTTGTTTTTCTCCTTCCATACGAAATGGGCCGGCCTGCTGTGTAGCCCAATAGGTATAAGCCCACATTCATTAATTCAAACTAATTAAGGTAAGGCAATGGAGTAAGTTCTATGCCCACCTGGCCAACCCATCTAGGCAATGGTGATCAAAAAAAATAAGGCAAGGCAAAAAAGGGGACACTCCTTCCATCCCCCAAATGTTTCCTTTTCTATCCCTTCCCAAGTTTTTTGAAAAAAAAACTTTATCTTTTTTAATTTGTACACTATAATTTAAAAATATTGAAAAGTAAAAAATTGTATATTTATATCCTTAATTTGTTTAGAGTAAAGAAAATTATAAAATGTTTCGAATCTAAAATTCAGCTTATAACATGTTTCTATGTATTATAATTCTGAAAAATAAATAGATCTCACTAACTTATTCTTAAGCAATTTTTTAAATTGATTTCTCTATGTTGCCTATATATTAACAAAACTATCTCGGAATATTTATAATTGAGTAATAGCCTTTTTATCCAAAATAGCCTTTTCATCACCAATTTCTTAATTTGAATAAAAAGAGTATAAAATAGATAAAAATGGGTGGTTGAGAGATCGATAGTCTACAAGCGAGATACACTTTTGGTGTACTTCTAATATAACTTTTTTTTATGAATATTCTCAAATTAAGATATTCAGCTTTTACAAAACTATATACGGAGTATGAGTTTTGAGCAACTTATGAGTTAAAATTTGATGGTGTGAATTTCTTAAAGGAACGATAAAATGGTGAAGTTTGTAGGTCATACATTTCTTTTCATTTTTTTAAACAACAAAATCATTGTACAAGTGAAGAAGAAGAAGAGAAAATTACTCTATAACATAACTACTGTATAAAATGATATTAGACGTCACAGATGAGGATGATGATGAAGATCCAACTATACATACAGCAACTGCATTTATGCAATCATGAAGAAATACACTGTGTACTATACTAAATTGCCCACCATCCCTACACTTAATGCCCTCAATTTCTTTTTAACCCAAAAAAAAACAATTTTTTAACCAAAAAAAAAAGAAAAGTTACCAAAAAGTTGCAGAGAATTACTGGTACTACTCTGTTGTGCATGCCACGAAATCAAGAACTCAGACTCTGTTACAGAAGAAGAAATTTGATGCTTTTTTCCTTCTTCTTCTTCTTCCTCCCAGTAAATCTTCGATTCCAGCTGTTGATCCAAGAAATTAACGAAAAGGGTTTATCAAATTATATGCTACTCATGAAAAAATCCTGAATTCTTGGACCAATTTCCAGGAATTGATGAAATCCCAATGGCGGCGGGAGATTCCTCAGTTGTGCAGGGGATTGGGGCCGGACGGGACCAGTCTCTTCTCCACCCCATATCTCGGGTCAATCTCCTTCTCCGAGTGCGGCGGCCGGGACGGCGGGCGGCGGCGGAGGATTATCTGTAGCTGGTAGCAGGCGGCGGCAGAGGGCCCGGTCTTGAAACTGGCGCAAGAATGGTGGAAATTCTGAACCTGGGTCGCCGACGACGACGATGATGAGATCAAGATGAATTGGAGGAAGAATATCACGGCGGTCAAATGATACTTAGACGGCGGCGTTCTTGCAGATGACGACGGCGAGATTTTCATTGTGGGTCTCCGAGTCGACTCAGAGATTGGTGTTATTTCAAGGCAGAGTTTTGTTTTACTTCTTGTTCTTGGTCATTTATATATACTCCATCCCTACACGAATAAAATTCTAGAGGCGAGGATATTTGACTGAAATTATTTTTAAATAATTTTATATAAAAAATAGATTAAAATTTAAAAATAAAAATTACATATAAAAAAATATAGCAAACTATCTACAAAATTACATGTGACATGATTATATTATTTTATGAAATTGGTGACAAAAATAAGTCAACAAAGTGAATAAAGTTTAATCATATAAATAGTGAACGAAAAATTTATTTGTGGACGTGGTATATATATAATGTGTCTGTGGGGAAGGAGGGTTGGGGTAGACGCGTATGAATTCCTCCTCCTCATCAAATTTGTCACGCACAATGCTTGCAGAATTTAATATCTCATCAAGCTACACATTTCTTTCTACCAAATCCACTCGTGTCTCAATTTATAGTCTTGATTATTTACAAAGTATATGGAAATATCTACAAATAAAAGAAAACAAAAAAAGCTGAGTATATTATTATATCAAATGAGAGACGAACGTATATAAAAAAGAAGAATAATTTGATCTACTTAATTTAATATTTCACCTTTGATTGATTTTCGAAGAATGCAACATTTTTCAACACGAGAATTAATGTACATTGTCTTAGTAGTTAGTAGGTGATGACGAAGTTTATTCATCTGAACGTTAAACTTCTTGATTTTTTCCCCAAATTTTGGACGTATTTACAAATAAATTTGTTCATTTTAGATTAGGCTGTTCTCGTAATTTCTTAGGTTAATACTTTTTAACTTAAAATAGAATACATACATGACCATAACCGGCCGAACATGATCTATCAATGTAAAGAGTGAATATGAAGTCACCAATGACATATCCCAGATTAAGAAAGAATGGACTAAAATAGAAAATAGTATCCCGTATTCAGAGTAATAATAAATACTATGACCAAATTAGACTGGACCAGATAAAATCAGATTATCAGAACTTATTTTAATCAGATCAGGTAGAGAAAATATGGCTTTATTTTGACCTTTTGTAAATTTGATTTGGTCATTATTATTATGGAACTAAAAAACACTTTAATAAATTATTGGCCGCTAATTAATACCGAGTACATTAAAGGATTTCACATTTCCTAACAGAAAACTCTTAAAATATTCCCTGGCCATGCATTTATAAAAAAATCAAATACTATGAAGCTCTGAGTCTTTATGTGGAATAAGACACTATTTGGAATGAGACTATTTTCTGTGAGGAAGTAAATTGTTACAAATTCAAAGAGAATTCAGTAATTTAAAGAAAAATGTTCACACATTTTTTTTAAAAAAGTTGCATAAGCTAACAAGTACTATGTAACAAAGATTGAAATGAATTTGATTTTCGAAAAACTAAATGAATATTCTGGTTGTAGCATGCATCAGTAGAATAACTATGATTCATAACAAACCCAATTTTTTCTGCGAGTTCCGGAGATTTGAGACCATGCATGATTAAAGTTCTCCAAGACCCTTAGTGCCGGGCCACCACTGTAATTCATGTTCTTAGAACTGAGGTAATTTAATTTTAATGTACTCTCTCATTCGTGTATAACTATATCGATTATTAGTTTTTTAAATACATTATATTTTGAATGAGTGATTTAAAAATTATATCGATATTAATTTACATTTTAATATTTTTTAAAGTCATATTGGACAAATATTCTAAGAGATGAAATATATATGCACTCTTGATTTATCTGCAATCATTTCCTTAGGTCTAATTCAGGCACTACTTTTGGTGCAAAACGGAATGTTTGATTGGATTTTATGGTACTCCGTAATTCGTATAACAAAATAACGATTTGATATTGCTCATCTTAATTACTCCGTAATTCCTTTTAGGGACTTCAATTAAATTTATTATAGAAGAATAATGAGATGAAATTTTAAAATCTTCAACACTAGAAAATGTCTTGTGTTGGGTTTAGATTGATATTGTTGACATGGTCAATTGGTCATTACAAACAAAGATATGCCCCTCCTTCCCAATGAGCAAATTTTAACCAAACTTCATTAGAGTTACTCGTTCTCACTCTATAAAACAAAATACGACATGAGTATATTATTTTACCAAATGAGTACCAAAATTGACAATTGAAACCGTTAAAACTTTAGTCTATGAGTAATGAAGAGACAATCTAAATTAGGGCGAAAACTGTTCAAACAGTGCAACTAAAATAAACCCAAGCTTTAGAAAATTGATCTAAAGCTCTATACACTTTGGATTGTAATTCTGAACTTTCAATAATTGTCAATTCTTTCCAATTTTGTTTATAGCATTCTGTAATTTCAATCAAAAAGAAAAAGAAGAGAACCTAAGAATAGAGACTTGAAATGACACATAATTATTAAGGTTGTGTGTGTGGGTCTGTGGGACAATGAATATTATGAAGATTGTCAAACCTGATTACGATGATGATTAATGCATAATGACAGCTACATCTTGGGCTTTGGCTTAATTTCAAAGCTTCATTAACCAAATGCACCCAATCTTTGAACACCATTTATTACACATATTCACAATAAAAATAAACAACATTTTTTTACAAAAAAAAAAATCAACATCAAATCTACAAGAAGCAAAATTTGGAAATTCAAGAAGATGAAAAACACATAAGATGAGCCAAAATCGTGTCGTGTGCCCTTCACTTCCCAAGCAGATGACGGGCGCGTTGATTGGCGCCCTTTACCCGCGAGTTCAGTTCGTCCACGTCCACGTCGAGATGGTCCAAAGCTTTGTTTTGCCTATAATTCGTCGCGGAGCCGTTAGAAAACAACATTCTTAATTAGCGTTAAAAGTTTTGAATAATTAACGTGTAAGAGCTGTCGTTGGATAGTCTTTTGCAAAAGGTTGAAGGTCAATGCTAAGACCTTGTTTGGAAACATCGTCTTGAAAGCACTAAAGATAAACACGCTGATGTTGTTGCCAAACAAGGACTAAATGTGATGTTATTGATGGCTAACCTGTCAAGTTCACTGCCCATCTCAGTGGCCATTCCCTTGAGTTCACCCAATATGTTGCTGAGGTCGGAGAGCGCGTCGTCTTGCTTTGCCTTCTCCATCTCTACTTTCTGCAATGCGTTCGTCGGTTCGCACAGAGGAGTTGCGGGAGCTGATTTCCCCTTATTCCCATTTAACCCCAACTTCTCCCTTTGCTCTTTCCTACTCTGCTTTGCTTTGTAGTTATTGTCATCTGAAAATGCACATATAAAACAAGTATAATAAACAAAAAAGTCATTTCCCCAAATTTGATATTTTCCTGTCTTCAGTGCAACACTTTGACCGTTATAAAAGAAGGAAAAAACACACACCTCTGGAAGTCAAAGGCCCAGAGATCTCCTTAGTCTTCTTTGGCTTCCATGGCTTAGAGAACATGCCCCCAAGACTATTCAACAACTTCTCCCCCTGCAATGTACATTTATCTTACACTTACCACAATCGATTGCAAACAACCCGTGGCGGAGGCAGGATTGCGTTTTAGAAAGACACCTTTGTCGAAATCGCCTTGGAGTGGGGGAGGGGGGACGTACCCTCCTAGAGGGCATGTACCATGTTGTTCCCCCTGCCTCCGCCACTACAAACAATAAGCGGTGTTCAAAACTTCAAACTAGACCGACCCCAAACGTGGGGCCCTCGACACAAGAGTGGGACCAGGCACGGGCGAACCTTGCTCAAATCGCGGTCCATCTCGGCAGCCATCTCATGGGTCCTATGGATCTGCTCCCCTTGCTGATGCAGCATCTCCAGCGTCCTAGACCCGTCCTGCCGGATGTCCTCCGCAATCTTCAGGCAATTGTTGACGGTGTTAGTGGTCTCTTCTGCCCGGTTCACGGCGTAGTTCTCCAGCTCTTGCACGGACATGCTATCTAGTGCCGGTTCAGAAGACGTCCTCCTCCCTGCCGTTATCCCAGCACCGCCATTTTTCTCTTCGGAACCTGCATTCGTGGACCCCCCTGGCGCCGGGGGCTTTCTCCCAAACCCAAACATTGATTTCGAGAATAATTATCCTACCTGAAAGTCCCATGGGATTTCAAGAAATTTAACCAAACCCTATCTGGGAAATCAAAAGCAAAAAACAGTAAATTCCAAGAATACAACAGCATACATGAATCTTGTATGGATGAATCAATGAAGAATCGATGCTCCAACAAGAAATTTGGTCAAAACCCAGCAATAAAAAACCTGTCTTTGATGCAAACATCAAGAAAAAAAGTCAAGATTTGGGAATTATTTCCACAAAATTCATTTTTTTTTCGAAAAAAGAAAAGTTCATGTCCCTGGCAACTTTTGAGAAAACCACTTACCTCTGAATCTGAAACACGCCCGGAGAAAGATCGATTAGGTTTATGGAATGGTTCTTTGGTTATCTTTCCCTCTCATTTCTGATTGAAAGGTGCCGCGATAACACAGGCCTTCATAACCGTCCAGAGGCCTTTTTTAGTTTTTTCTTTCCAATAAAGGGCGTTTCGGTTGAGATTAACCCCTCATGTCTCATGTCATCTCATAGCTCCGAATATGGTATCCAGGATACTTTCTTCCCTAAAATTAATATTACTTCCGTCCGACTCTCTTTGTTTACTTTTGACTTTTAAAACTGTTCATCTAAGCATTTTGACTCATCAAATTTGCTCAATGTGTAAGCCTAAATATAGTCATGTGTGATCTTGTTTGATTTGTATTAACATATAGATTATTAATATATAATTTTTTAATATACAAATTACAAGATAAAATGGATTAAAGAAGTGCATTGGGTGGTGTGCCAAAAGGTAAGTGGACAAAGAGAGTGGGACGGAGGGAGTAGTTCTTACCCCAAACCAGACCCTTCTCGTAAATCATTACTCTCGGCCCGGCTCGAATATACCCCGGACCCCCGTCAATTGCATATTGACATGTCGCAAGATTTAGTTGATTTTGGAGCCAAAATTTGATTCCAAATTCAAGAAGGGTAGAAACCCACACAGAGCCAAGAATATGAGCCACTATATTAGTCTTCATATGAACAAACAAAATAGAGCTAGAAGAAAAACTAGCCAATAATCAGGAGGGATAGAATCTGACAAGACTTTTGGTTCCTCTTCGCCTATCAAAAATATGAGCCGCTACATTAGCCTCCATACGAACAAACGAAATAGAACTATGAAAAACTCGCCAATAAGACTTTACAATTAAACATTAGTAGCCAAGGTACCAAAATATGATGAAAGACTAGCATTCTCACCCAAAATCGCCTTAGCCAAACACTCACAATCAACTAAAAGCTCCACATTCTGTAACCCAAGTGACTTATCCACATGGACAAATTTTATTTATTTTGTTTCTATATTTTCGTGGTTCATTTGATAAAATAATACAGTCATGTCATCTATAATTTTGCAGATTTTTTGATATTATTTTTAAATATACATGGAGCAATTTTTAATTTCACACCAATTTCATATAAAATAAATAAAAAGAATTTCAATCAAACATCATAATCCTTAAAAGAAATAACAAAGAGGGTATTTATTTATTCATTGTATCCACTTCCTCCCTAAATAAACTTTACTCTTGCTATACATATTTTAAAATTATATTCCCTTGTCTCTAAATAAACTTTTTGTTCACTATTGACATAATTAAATTATACTTTGTCTTTAGTAATTTGCTTTAACTATTTGTTAAAATAACACAATATATAGTATGCAAAAATTTTATCTATTTTTGGTTCACATTGATATTCTAATAATGTCCAAGTGATGCTGAATATTTAGTTAAATAATGACTAATAGATAATCAATGGTCCTACATTAGAGAATAAAAACATATGCTCTTATATTGAGAAAGTTATTATATTTTTGGCTTATTTGTTTCACTTTAAAATATATGCACCCACTAAATAACGGTCAAAACTATAAGTGAACCTGATTGCCAAATTTAAAAGCATGTTAGTCAAAAAGAACGTACGAAGGAGGATTATAAATTCCTATGGAGTATTAAAACGCCAAACTCATTTAAAAGCATTAAATATACAAACTTAAAAGAGTTGATCAATTCTTCAATTATGGATTGGGTCACATTGACCACCAAAATGTGCCATTTCTTTCTCACCATCCACGTGTGTGCCATGTCAGCTGCCAGCGTGTTCAGTTTGTCCAGATTGCAATTTGGCTCACAGTTCACTCCACTGTCCAAATGGATGCCAAGCCAAACCAAAATGGTTGACAAATGACATTACAGAAAAATAACATTTATATGAATAAAAACTATAGTGAATTGAAGAGCTTCAGTTGAGATGAACAAAAGAATTATGAACCAGTTTTGGGTTGTTAATTGTCTATGCAATTAACAAGTGACTATGACAAAATGTTATTATCTGCAGAAATAATAAAAACAAAAAGGAAATGGATGAACTCATCATCAAACAATGACAAAAAGAGGGATTCTTGGGCATGAAAAATCTGCAAAACAAACTTTAAAAAAAACCATTCTTTTTTTCCCCATTGTTATTATGAGGCTACCAAGACATCAACGGCTCATCTTCGTTGTCCTCAACCGGGGCAGGGAGATTAAGATCAAGCAAATCCGGTGCTTCTTCTTCTTCTTCTTCCCCGTCTTCTTCTTCTGTTTTGGCAGAAGGTGAAGCGTGGTTTGAAGCATTGATGACCTGAGAAGAACCACCAAGGAAATGCGACCTTTTGTGACCACCTAAAGCTTGTCCGGACTTGAACACCCTATTGCAGAAAGGGCATTCGTGACCTTTCACTTTCTTGAACTTAACACTCTTCTCCGGTGACGAATCCTTAACAGCATTTCCTCTTTTGCCAACCAAACGCTCCCTTATCGCATCATCGCCCTCTAAGCTGTTTTCGCCCGTCCCATAACCTGATTCCCTATCTGCATTGATCTTCTTGTGGCAAGGCCTATGACCACCTAAAGCCTGATAAGAGGTAAAACACTTCTTGCAATTCAAGCACTCATACTTCTTCTTGTTAGCACCCAAAGACGAGACGATTTTACCCTTCTTGTACTCCCTGCTGTCTCTATTAGGATCATAAGAAGTGTCATTATTATATGTTCTCTTCTGCTTCCCAGATTTTCTTGATGCCAATGCAGAATCATCATACCCATAATCATAATAAGTGCCTCTTATTCTGTTGACAGAAATCTCCGATTCGCCCTTGTTTTCTCCTAAGAAGTACTCGGAATCCGAACTATGGGAATTTTCTTGTACCATATCAATGCTGGACTTCAGATTCTTCTTATCTCCTTCAACTTTCTTGGGAGTATTAAGAAAAATGCCATCTTTCTTGGACCTCTTCATGTCAATGGATGATGATTTAGTAGTCTCTAAGACCACAGAATTATTGTCAGAGAACTCTACAACTGATGAATTATTAATAGTGTTATTATTAACAGCAACAAAACCATTCCACTGGCCAGAATCTTTCGACAACATCACCAAACACTTTGCAATTTCTTCCTGTTCTTGAAAATCAATTTCAGAAACTGATGATGAACCACCAACACTGTTGTTGTTATTATTATTGTTATTATTGGCATTGTATTTGATGACAATTTTCTTGTACCTCTTGGGATTTACTGATCTGTCCCTCCGTGGGATCTGTTTTTCCTCGGTCTGATCCTCGGAATCCGAATTGCTTTCAATTTGGGACCAAGATTGATCATCGTCATTGTCCTTATTAACACCGCCACCACCACCTTTGTCTTTGTCAGAATGGCAAGCCATATGGCCACACAAGGCTTTAAGGGATTGGAAGACCTTGCCACATTGCTTGCAGGCCTTCTCTTCTGATTGAACAAGGGCAGTGGAGCCCACCGAAGCCCTCCAAGTCTTCTTGGGATTCTCTCTGAGCCCAAATCTTGATGATGGCTGATGATGAAGCTTCTCCTCCTCCCCAACAAAATCAGCTGAATTTGGAACCACATGAGACCTCATGTGCCCTCCCAGTGACTTCCCACAAGGGTACCTCTTGTTACACAGCTTGCACACAAACTTCAACTCTTGATGAAAATGATGATGATCCTCCATCCCAGAAGAACTCCCAAACTAACCCTGAACTCAAACCACAGAAAAAAAAAATTGAAAATCAGCAACAAAAGATAAAAACACTTGGAAATTGAATTCGAGAAAAAGGTCGAATCTTGGGAACAGTGAGAGATTTCTTGATCCACTAGAGCCACTTACAGAAGAAGCCCCAGATCAGACCTAAGCTCAAATCTGGATTCCACGCCTCAGATCACTGGTCAGATTTGGAAACATTTTCTTGAAATCAAAGTAAAAGATCTCAGGAGACCCACTTTTTCCTCCAGAACAAATGCCAAGAAATTCAAGAATCAAACGCAGTAAAAAGCAAAACTGATCAAATGGAGTAGTGGTAACAAGAAAGAAAGAAAGAAAGGAAAAAAAAGAAACTTTCAGAGTTTATTTCATCCCTACTCAATCTCTCTCACATCTTACTCCTTGTTTGGGATGGATGTTAGAGTCGGAGGAGAATTCCATGCAGGAAAGCAAAATAAAGAAGAGAAAAAGAAGAGCAACACGTGTAGTCTCAAGAGGATCGTTCGCTATTCCTAATCAGACGGCCAAGATCTGCTAACCCATTGGTGAAATTTTGATTGTGAAAACAAGAGAAATGAAAAAAAAAGATTGGGGATAATTTGGTACATAGTCCATATAGTGCATAGGAAAGGAAAAAAAATTAAAGAAAAAGTACTCCCTCCGTCCCTAAATATTTGCAACACTTGTATTCTCGAGGTAAAATATCACGTTTTTTTATTTTATTTTATTTACATATTGCTATAGAAATAAAAAATAAAATTTACATATCAAAAAACTACATGAAAAATTCTTTGAAATAAGAGGTGTCAAGAATATTTTATTTTATCAAATAACTAATGAAAATGTAGAAATAAACAAAAGTTGCCGCAATTGCTGAAAAAACAAATGTTGTGAATATTTTAGGACGGAGGGAGTATAAAAGACATGCCAAAGTTTCTCATTTGTCTCTGTTCAATTGGTTAGTCACACCCATCAAAGGTCCGAATCTTCAGCCGTTATTGCTCTCTTAACTTCCCAACAAAAAAGCTAAAAGAGAAACAACTAAAAAAGTCAAGATTTTTTTTAAATAGTAAAAATTACAAGCCCCCACCTAAAACAAATGGACTTCGATGCTCCTAGTGCATTCCCACATACCCAACAAAATTGTTTGGTTCCTCAAAAAAAAAACAATATTGTTTGGAACTTGGTTTAGTATACTAGTATTTCAGTTTGACTTGACAACATTGATAATAAAAGATGATCATGTATAACATAAAAATCTTACACATATAAGGATAGATCTTACATTATGCTAGTGTTCATTTCGTATTTCGCACGAGCTCGTATACGTTCTGAATTTTTGACATTTTATAAATATAAATTTATTTATTTTAGTTTTCTAATAATGACATAATATGTGTTAAATAAATTTTTTAACTCTAAGGTATATATTTTTAAATGAAAATTATACATTAAATATTGATGTACATGCACTAAAAATTATAAGTATTTTATTTAAAAGTAGTAAAAGAGAAATGATCAATTTTTTTTAAAAAATCATATAAAACTTTATTTTTCAAAACATCGATAAAGTTTTAAAAATATTTTTAAGATATAATATAATTATGTAAACAAAATATATTTGTATGTTAATTTAAAAATAAAAGGTTTATACAAAATTAATGGTCATTGAATGAAGTAGTAATGAAAATGGTTTTAATTAATAAAAAATTAAAATAAAAAATCTACTAAATAATGGTATATCATTAGAGAATGTATATGTGGTAGAGTGTCATTTGTCACCCTTCATTTAAACCAATTTTATTCTATTTACATTGTCGGAAAATATACGTATAATAAAATAAATAATGTAATAAGATAAAATTTTAAAATAAAGTATATAATTAATAAATATGCATATGTTATTAAATTTATATAATCATTTTTGAGAAGTAATTAACTAAAATAAATAGCGGATAGTATAAAAATAATATAATCTAAAATAAGTTTTTTGGAATGATAAGGTGTATAGAACTTTTTAAAAAATTAATTAACATAATATAATAAAGAATGTTTAAAACATGCGTTGTATGCAAAGTTTAATAAAAAATTATTGGTCATTAAAAACTGATTTTTTTTAATCGTAGTGTTTTTAATTAATAATAAATAAAAAATTAAATAATGCAAAAAAAATTACATTAGTTAAAATATAAAGATTCCAAAAATAATTTAATGTTTTTGAAAGAAAAATGTTTCTAAATTTTTTAAATTAAAAATTAATAGTATTATACATACTCCTTTTTAAATATTACAATCAATTTGCATATTTAAACTACAGAATATATTTTACAATAGTGAAATATATGTTTATAGAATCATTAAAAATGGAAATTTTTTATATAGAATATAACTAAAGTAATTTTTTAATTCTAAAAAATAATATTCATTTAATGTAATATAATAAAAAGCATTAAAATATTTTTTTTAAAAAAGATAAATGGAGCAATGAAATGACTCCACCTCATAATGGGTGCACATGTGAAATGCCACATGTTAACACCACAACTAAGACACTCAGCTTTACACACACACACATATATATTAAAGATATTAAATACAGAGAATAATTTTAAAAGAAGAAATAGATTCTGGGCCGAAGCCCAACACCAATGTGTGTACGTCCTACTGCCCAAATTCAGTAATACTCCGTTACACCATAGTCCGAAGCTAGCAACGAAGCCCAAAGAAGCAACAGCCTTGCCAGCGTTCATCGTCACCAAGTTGAAGCCCAACAAGAACATAAGTTACCTCCACTCTGGCCCCCGCCCCTTCTCCTACCATGTACCCTTCCCCCGTCAACCCCAATGCCCGCCTTCTCCCCGCCCGCCCTTGCTCCCTCCGCCCCCCTCACCCGCCCGCTTGTTTTCCATCCCC